ATGTTATATGAAAAAGGTAGCAATATCTTTTGTGAAAATGTTTCCGTCACCTGGGTTTCTGTCACCTTTACCCTCCTGATTTCAGCCCACCACATGCTGCAGTGGTTGTTCTCCTGAAGAAATGGGGCACATGATGTTTGATGGGTTATTGTTGGAGCAACTTGCTAACCTTCTGTCTGCCAGTGGATCATTATAAAGTCATGTCATGGAGCGGCTCTACAGCTCACCCAGTAGAGCAGGGTTAGGGGTGGGTTTGAGTCTGGCTCACGACCCTTGCTGTAGGTCCTCCCCTCTTTCCTGTCTCACTATCCTGACTAATTAAGGCCAGAAAAAAATATTTTAAAAATAAATAAAGTCATGTTATGCAGCTGCAATCAGATTTTGTTTAAAACTGTAGAAGTTCACTTCACATTGCACTGAAAATTACAACAATACCAAATACGTAAAGCTTAGTGGTGGATAAATGTGTATTCAGTGATGCACAGGACATCTGGATACATGTCCGTGCATGTGATGCTGTTGGACAGCTTTTATCAACCATAAAGATATCTACTTTAAAAAGGCACAGGAAAATTAGCTTAAAGAATGTAACAGAAGGAATCGCAATTGTAAATTCATTCTAAATTTATGCCATTTGATGAGACACAAAAGTTTGAACTGATCTCTTTCCATTTCTTTCAGTGAATTTCAGATTGGTCACACTGGACACCAAGTTTAGACCTGCTGAACAGCTGGTGAGTGTCGGAACTCTACTGTTTATCATTTGTGGATCCCTGAGCTGGGAAACGTACCCCAGCTAGCAGAGTTGAACAGAGGTTATGCAATCAACTAACTGACATGGGAGCTCAACATGAGGGTGCTCTTTAACCTTATTTACGTTATGTCCACAATCAGTCAGCTCCTGCCAAACGATCAATAGTACAACCAGGGCCTCTTTTTGTCAGCCTGTCTGTGCTGAGTTCAGACTTTTCTGCTGACGCTGCAATTATTCTATCAACCCACCAAGCTGGTCATTTTGCAACATGTTTTTTTTGGCAGATAACTTTTGTAGTAAAAACCATAAGGTATAGCAAACATTAGTATAACACGGTTTCCTCATCAGGCTGCAAGGTGGAACGGTGGTTAGCATCGTTGCCTCACAGCAAGAAGGTTGCCGCTTCGCGTCCCAGTGAGGACAGTCCAAAAACATGTTTAGGTTAATTGGTGATTCTAAATTGTCTGTAGGTGTGAATGTGAGTGTGATGGTTGTCTG